AGGCCCTGTTTTAGGTAGTCCCGACCAGTCTTAGCTGGCTTGAGCTTGAGCTAGACACAGCTAGCTCTAAGTTCCTGGAAAACAACCCAGGCAAACATCTTATTGTGTCGGCTGTGTGATGCTTGGAGGACAGCTAAGCCTTTTGTAGCAACAATTACAGCATCGGCTTGATCGGTGAAGGCAGGTTACACGTGAAGGGGTTTTTAATATACTGGAAGGCAAGCTCAAGAATTTCTGTTAGTCACCAGTTTTTATTAACCCCATGGGGCATGGTCTCAAAAGCACTTGTTTTTGTACATCTTGTCTTTGAGGCTCTGAGTTTTGTTGTCTGTTCTGAAACTTTGTTAGAGGTTCTGTTTTAACATTCACTCCATTAGGTCAAAGGCGTTCACCCCTATTCCTTGGGAATCCCTAGGTTTTGTGGTAATCTTCCCCAGGCATTCAGCCTGCAGCCCTGGGAAGTAGAGACCCAGGTGGCCAGCCCCAGCTCCTGCCAAGTCCTGGCATCTGGGTGGTCAGCCTGCATGTCTTCCTCTCAGATCTTTTCTGTCACTGTTCCCTGAGTGCTTACTCACCCCTCAGTTTACTTCTGTCTGAATCGGTTTTCAGGGTTCTGTGGACTTGTTTCCCTCCCTGTGACTGTGAGGGTGGGGGTCAAGCATCTGTTCTACACTGTTCCAGAAATTTCTGTCCCTCACGCTGGTCACCACTCCTCAGAGTGTGTAGACTGGGGTGACGTGCCTTTCTTCATTGGTTTATTTTCTGCTGTTGAAAATTTCCTGGCTTTTATTTCGCCTCTTGTTGGAAAAGCACAGTCCTCTGATCAGCTTTTATTGTGCCATCTTTATCTGGCAGTCTGTGGTGAGCTTTTAAAATATAAAAGACAGATTAAAAAAAAAATAACAACACAAAACATTCCTGTGTCCAGCCTTGGACCTTCCATTTCAGAGGGTCTGGAATGAGGCCCAAGTTTTTCCTTTTTAGAAGCCTCACCGCAGTTCTTAGGACCAACCAAATTTAAATCCAGTATCTTTATTAAAAGATGTATATTTTCCTTTTACCTTTTAATTAGCCTATCTGAAGAGCAAGTGTATAAAACAATTTAAATTTCTCAGAAAGATGCCATAAATTTAAAGGTGCTTTTGGTGTTTATTTGCTTGCTCATTTTTAAAGTAACCTCATACAAATAGGGCGAGAAAGCCCACCTCCAGAGAATGGAAATGCAAGTTGCTCTTTTTTTTGTAGTGGTCCCTGAGAGAAATACCCTTATCCCTTCTAGACCTCTTAAGCTTTTAGTTTTCTGCTGGTGTCTATAGAGTGAATTATTCATTGATGGTTTTTGTTTTTTTTGTTTTGCCGTACGCGGGCCTCTCACTGCCGTGGCCTCTCCCGTTGCGGAGCACAGGCTCCGGATGCGCGCAGGCTCCGCGGCCACGGCCCACGGGCCCAGCCGCTCCGGGGCACGAACCCGCGTCCCCTGCATCGGCAGGCGGACTCTCAACCACTGCTCCACCAGGGAAGCCCCATTGATGCTTTTAAGAAGCATTTTGAATGCTATATATGCTAACATCATCAAAGTGATAATCATTCTTCAGTACTGGAGCGTCTTTACTGGAGATCACCCACAACAGGTCTTTAATCCTGGTTAGGATTTGACTGGTAAAATGGAACTATAAAAAGTACTGGTTTCACCTGGATCTCTTCAAGCTATGGTCCCTTCAACTAGATATAAAGTTTAAGTTATTTTTACATCTGCTAATGACTGAAAGCTAAAAAGAAAATGTAGATTTAAATCAACCTCTAAAATAACAGTTTTGAATGAGTTTTTATATAAGATGTGAATTTAGAAGTGACATTTTCCATTTGTAATTTATAGTTAGCAGAAGAAATGGTCAGTATTTAAAACCATGCACTAAAAATATCTCACATGCAACCTCTAGGCTTTTCAATACTGCAGGTCCCATATATGCTGCTTTAAATATATTTGGAAAATAACCTATTGATTAGTCATCTGCTTTCCATGGCTCCCCTTTTATTCCTGGTACATGTAAGTCGGAGCTATTGTTTTTATTAAATCTACCTTTTTAAGGACTAAATGTGGTAGGCAACTCAAAGAATTCTACCATGCTTTCAATATATAAGATTCATCTCTTTTAACAAAGTGAATCAGCTATGTATAGCTGATTCACTTTGTTATAAAGCAGAAACTAACACACCATTGTAAAGCAATTATACTCCAATAAAGATGTTAAAAAAATTAAATTAAAAACAAAAATTTCTCTCTTTTGCATTAATTTTTCTCTAAGGCACCTGCTTCAAGGAAGTACTGCTTTTTCACATTCTTTCAAATCTAGATCTATTAGATAATCTTTACTGTGTATCCAGAGTATCAGTAGAGAAAACACAATGTAGTTTGTTTAAGCATAGCTCACGTGATAGCAACCTCCAAGTCAGTAGATTTTTCTTTCATCAGTTTGTCTAATTATAATTTTTAAATTGTTATATACCCATGACTTCTTTTTTTTTTTTTTGTGGTACGCGGCCCTCTCTCTGTTGTGGCCTCTCCCGTTGTGGAGCACAGGCTCTGGACGCGCAGGCTCAGCGGCCATGGCTCACAGGCCCAGCCGCTCCACGGCACGTGGGATCTTCCCGGACCGGGGCACGAACCCGCATCCCCTGCATCGGCAGGCGGACTCTCAACCACTGTGCCACCAGGGAAACCCCATGACTTCTTTTTAAAGTAATTGCAACAATCACTATTCTATTGGGTGATATATATTCCCTGGGAATTTCCAAACTTTAAGGGACAATAGAGGTCATTTCACCCACCTGACTCAGGCTTACAGATGAGGAACTGGAAGCACAGGCTTGCCCATTGCTTTGTCTGAGGTTACACCATCTAGTCACATGGCCTCTGGGTTCCCAGAGCAACGTCCTTTTTACTAAAGTCCTCTGCCTCTCATGTCACCTAGTAACACCTGTTAGAGGTGAACTCACATTTCGCTTTGTCTGTAAAACGTACCATGATCAAAATTGTAAACTTATTATTGCACACTTTTCTAGGCATATCTGTAGATTCAGGGGAAATGAAAGAAATAGAATGTGAAATAATGAAAGTAGCTACTATGAAAGAGGAATAGCAACATGGAATAAACAGGGAAGTGAATACTGAGATGCTGTCATATGGAGTCCCACTGTGGACCACTAGTCCACTCCTAGGGCTGTTGTTCTGCTTCTTCTTTTTTTTTTTTTTTTTTTTTTTGCGGTACGCGGGCCTCTCACGGTTGTGGCTTTTCCCGCTGCGGAGCACAGGCTCCGGACGCGCAGGCTCAGCAGCCATGGCTCACGGGCCCCAGCCGCTCCGCGGCATGTGGGATCTTCCCAGACCGGGGCACGAACCCGCGTCCCTTGCATCGGCAGGCGGACTCTAAACCACTGTGCCACCAGGGAAGCCCTCTTTTTTTAAAAATTGAAGTATAGTTGATGTTAATTTCTGCTGTACAGCAAAGTGACTCAGCTCTCTCCCTCTCTCCCTCCCTCTCTCTCTCTCTCTCTCTCTCTCTCTCTCTCTCTCTATATATATATATATATATATATATATATATATTTTTTTCATATTCTTTTCGATTATGGTTTATCCCAGGACATTGAATATAGTTCCCTGTGCTATATTGTAGGACCTTGTTGTCCATCCATTCTATATGTAATAGTTTGCATCTACTAACCCCAAACTCTCAGTCCATCCCTCCTCCAGCCCTCTCCCCCTTGGCAACCACAAGTCTGTTCTCTATGTCTGTGAGTCTGTTTCTGTTTTGTAGATAGGTTTATTTGTGCCATATTTTAGATTCCACATATAAGTGATATCATATGGTATTTGTCTTTCTCTTTCTGACTTACTTCACTTAGTAAGGTCCATCCTTACTCCAGGTCCATCCATGTTGCTGCAAATGGCATTATTTCATTCTTTTTAATGGCTGAGTAGTATTCCATTGTATATATGTACCACATCCTCTTTATCTATGGCTGTTCTTCTTCCTTTTTTCTTTTTCAATATTTATTTATTTATTTATTGGCTGCATCAGGTCTTAGTTGCAGCTCATGGGATCTTTCGTTGCATCGCGCAGGCTTCTCTCTAGTTGTGGCGCATGGGCTTAGTTGCCCTCCCGCATGTGGGATCTTAGTTCCCCGACCAGGGTTCGAACTGGTGTCCCCTGCATTGCAAGATGGATTCTTAACCACTGGACCGCCAGGGAAGTCCCTTTATGGCTGTTCTTCTAACTACAGAAGCCAAAATCAGGACCCAAAAGAAATCAATCAGTGGAACAAATGTTAGTGAGTTTTCTTTTTTCAAGATTACCTCTTAGTTTTTGTGTAACTTGAAGCATGCAGAATGTAGAGGGGAGTATCTGGATTCTTGACCTGGAGATGGGATTAGGAAGATAGATTAGAGCAATTTTGACTAATCTGAGTGTGTTCAGTGCAAGCCTGCTAGGCAGGTTAAAAGTTCTCCTTGCTAAATGTCTTAGCATAAACATCCCCCCAAATATTGTCTCTACCTCCTTCAAGAAGACTTATTCACAAGTAGTTTTCATTAGGTTTTGGGAGAGCGGCACACAGCCTTGAAAACCTGCCCTTGACACTTTGATTTTTCATTCAAACATCTGGACTCAGTCCATATGCTTGCCTTGGATTTAGAGCAATAATGGTTGCATAGAAACACATGGTCTGCCCTCTCCGGTTAAATAATGTCAGGTCTTCACATCCAGGTAAACGACCAGTTGGCGACCATTTCTGTTCTTATTTGCTCTACCTTTAGGTAAAAGAGTCAAAGCTATGCAAGCCTTTCACGCTGAAAGATGGAAGGAAACAAATGGATTTCAGCTGTGGACACTTTGTGACTTTTCTTTTTTTAACTTGTAAACAAAAGCACTGACTTCTTTCATTCCTGATTTCTCAGTTATCTTTCTGTGTAAGGTGACATGTCTGCCTTTTTGTTTTAGGAATCTTTCGAAGAAATACCAACCTAAAAAGAACTCGAAGGAGGAAGAAGAATACAGGTGTGTTTATCATTGATTGTTATGTGGTAATATCTATATGGCATTGGTGATGATTATAAAGGAAATCTACATATATTTTGTAGAGATAATATATCTACAGAAACAAGTTGCCTTCCTCATTCATATCTGTGCCAGTTTTTAAATTGGGGGAAAGACAATAAAAACCTACTCAAATAACTTATACTGAGTCACTAGACCCATTCCAGATTGTTTCAGTTAAGGTAATTAGGAAAAGCTTAGACTATAATCTAAGCAAATACAGGAAGTGTGGATTATGCACTCTACATCTTGATTTGGTTTTGTAATATCAGGTGTCTCATTCATCCAAGAAGTATGTCTGTTTCAGACAGCAGTTAAGACATCTTAACATGAAAAGTCCAAAAGTATTATCTATAATTTAGATCTAAATATCCATGATATTAGTACCTATAGTACGTATATGTATTTTGGGTTATATGTGGGCTATTAACAAAGCCAAATATTGCCTTATGTAGGGCAATTCGGCTTTACACAATGAAAAATGTTTCAGTTGTAATTTATTCTGCACCATTTTGATGAGAACCCTCTTATGTGTAATGAATTGTCAAGACCCTATGGGAGCTGTATGCAAATTAACCTGATTTTAATTACTATTTCGCTGGTGGGAAGCAACATGAGAGATGATGTGCCTTGTTTGAAAAGGAGTGGTGTGCGTTCTGTTCTGTAGGTATACAGCATGTAAAGCCTTCCTTTCCACCCTGAATGAGATGAACGATTATGCTGGACAGCATGAAGTCATCTCCGAGAACATGACCTCCCAGATCACCGTGGAGTTAGCACGCTACGTCCAGGAATTGAAGCAGGAGAGGAAATCGGTAACTAAAATTTGTTTTTTCTTCCTACGAGATGGACCAAAGATGATGGGAATATCCCTACAAGTTTTAAAATTATCAATAAATGGAATCATATGAGATGGTGGGTCTTAAATTGCCACCTTTGAGACACGTATAAACATTCCTGACCCTGTTCGTAGAAAGTGTTTCTATGAACACTGGAGTAATTTAATGAGTAAATTATATAGTAATTTAATGAGTAAATTCCTAGTCTTTACATCCGATTTCAAGCATCCCTCAGACTTTCTGAAACTCATTTGTGGATCCCAGAATACTAACCCCTTTGAGGAATTTAAATATATTTGCGGCTATCAGATATACAAGAGTAAGCAATACAATATGATGTATGCTGTGTGGAATAAACTGTGTTAAAATAAATGTTATAAGGAGTTCAAAAGAGCCAGAAGGATGACCTCAGTTACAGCCACTCCGTTCCGTGGCTCATTCATTGTCATCTAATGAAGAGGGCCTTTTTGTTCCTCTTGTCATCATTACAGTCTTTTCATAGCTTTTGTTGTTAACAAAAGGGAAAAATGTACCCTCAAGTAAAATATATTCATAGTCAAGATTTTGCCCTAAGAGATTTATCATTAAGCCATGGTGGTCTGTATCATTGTACTTTGATCGCCTATGAGGTGCATAATAATTTGTTAGTAATAAAGTACCAAAGTTGGCCAGTGATATGCTTTTCTATATAAATTTGAGTCCACAGTAATTCTTTTAGTGCTCTGGAGATACATGAGACAAGATTGATAGGTTTCTTGCTGAAATGGTGGAGATATTAAATAATAATGACCAAAATAATTATTTAATTGCAGTTGTGATAGTTTCAACAAAGTACGAGTACATATGTGAGAACATATAAAAAATGGGAACACCTAACATGCTTATGCTCTGGATCATGGGAAAGCTTCCTGGGGGGCTTGACAGTTAAGGCTTTAACAGGACTTGAGGGACAAGTAGGAGTTGCATGGGACAAACATTCAATAGAGGGAGCAGCTGTGCAAAGGCCCTGAGACAGGAAGGTGTTTGGAACATCTGAGGAGTTTAGTTCTTTCTGAACTATAAATATGTAGCAAATAGCTTTGGGTATGTTTAGAAGTTAGGAAGAGATATATGCCTTAGGATCAACCCATTGAATTACAAAAAGAGTTAATACACTGAGCTGATGTTTTTATCTATTCACATTAAAGCAGTGATTACCAAGCAGGCACAATTTTGCTCCCCGCCCCAGCAAACATTTGTCAATGTCTGGAGACATTTTTGGTTGTTAGGGGCATTATAGCTGGGGGGTTGCTACTGGCATCTAGTGGGTAGAACCCAAAGGTGCTGCTAAACATCCTATAACACAAAGAACAGCCTCCATGACAAAGAATTACCTGGTCCAAAATGTCCATAGGGGCTGAGAAACCCTGCACCAGAGCTCCAATTCAGTGACAGTATCTATAGACCGTGGAGATTGGTCTTTTATAAGAAAAGGAGAGCTTTTCTTTTATATGATGGAAAGGAAGAAGTGAAACAGAATATTAAGGTTTGGAATTAAGCAAAATACCTAATATAATCATAAAGTAAACACAGTAAATCTGAACACGATGCTGGACTACTTCCCTGGTTCCTGACTTTCCCTTGACCTTGCAAAGTTTATACCTTCTTCTTATTTGTTACTTTGGTCAGTGGCTTGTGTCTCTTGCTGACCTTCCTTCACTCATACAGTTTAGCATTTTAGCCAACACCCTAAACAAAAACTCTGTGTATTTACCTTAGTAGCAATCATTAATTGTATTTCTGGAGTGAATCATGAAATGTGAAGCCCACATAACTTGGCCTCCTCCTACTTTTTTTGAATTCTCCCCCTCCAACCACGTGGCCTTCTTACCCTGTGCGATCCTGCCCCAGGGCCTTTGCACTGGCCTTTCTCGCCTTGGTAAGCTTTTCCCCCAGGTATCTGCAGAACTCACTTCCTGACTTCTTTCTCAGGAATATCATCTCATGGAGGTCTATCTTGTTTACCTTATTTAAAATTACAAAGTCCCCCCACCTTCTCCACCCCATTTCTACCACGTCCCCCTGCTTTATTTTTCTTTAGTACTTAACCAGCATCTAACATTTTATGTATTTACTTGTTTGTTTTTCTTTCACCCCACGCTGTAAGCTCCACTAGGGCAAGAATTTTCTTGTCCACTGTTGTATTCTCAGTCCCTGGAACGGTGCCCAGTGTGGCACAAAGCAGGCTCTCGATCAATACTCTTGGAGTGAAAGAAAGAATTGAGAAGTAGAAGCAGCCTTCTTCGACATAGCTTAGCTCTCAGTTAGACTTTGTTTTACTAGTTGCAGAGCCTTGTATTTCTTTGCTGTGTTATGATTGTGTCCTTCTGTTTTATTTACTCACTGGTAATCATGTCTTTTTTACAGTCTGTCATGTCTGTACTTTGAATTCTTTTTCTTTTTTAATTAAAAATTATAGAAATTTAATGAGTAAATTATAGGTGGTGCAGACACAGGTTAAATAATACCTTGCGATGCATAGTGTTCCTTTTGTTTTAAGGGGAATTACACGTACACTTCTCTGAGTCAGATGTTCTGTTGAGAGGAGCTGTAAACAGTATGCTGTCTTAAAGCCTTTTGTAATTCTATTGAGATGAAAATTTAAGAAATTGTGAAACCTTTTAAAATTCTAGAAAGAATATCAGTAAGTACATTTGTGGTGATTTAATATCACGCATCATGAACATTTCTGCTTTGCTTATTATGTGGGTAATAGCTACCGTTATTTTGAATGACTGCATGATGTGGCGTTGTGTTGATGTTCTCTGATTTCTAAAATTACTCTCATAATATTGGATATTTAACTGTTTGGCCTCAAGTGTTCGTTTTTGTTTTTTTGTTTTTTTTTTGTGGTACGCGGGCCTCTCACTGTTGTGGCCTCTCCCGTTGCGGAGCACAGGCTCCGGACGTGCAGGCTCAGCGGCCATGGCTCACGGGCCCAGCCGCTCTGCGGCATGTGGGATCTTCCCGGACCGGGGCACAAACCCGTGTCCCCTGCATCGGCAGGCGGACTCTCAACCACTGCGCCACCAGGGAAGCCCCTCAAGTGTTCGTTTTTACAGGTTATAATAACTGACTTCTATCCTCACAGCATCCCTGGGGGAGGGGGAGGGCCGTTATCTTATACATTGTGCTCATTACCTTACATTTTGCTAGCAGGCAGCCCACGTCTCAGGGCAGCGCGCATTCACACACATGCTCTGGTTCCCACTGAGTTATTTTCTGGATCTTACACCCCAGGATGCTGGGCTGACTGGTGTGAAGGTCTCCATCAGCAGTCAGCTGTAGAAAGGGCTCCTTGAGATCATCTCATACTATGCAGTGTTTCTCCTTGCAACCTTTCACCTTTGGCTACCCTGACTTTTCTTAGTAAGTGATCTAATTTTCATAAGGATGATTGTCAAAACCACAGTAGAATGTGATGGCTTCCACTTTCTGGTGATGGTAATTATCAGCAGAAGTGCCACAACAGAGCGAGAGCCCAAATCCAGCTCTTCTGGGGTCAAATCCAGTTGCTGCTTCGATGCGGGACCATGAAGGGCTGACAGTGAACTTCAGATCTTCTTTAGAGGAGAGGAGAGCCTCAATCAGCAGTATGTCCAGAGAGCCGCAGCTCCCGGCCGTCAGGGAGGAGAGGAAAGGACCCAGGCTCTGCAGTCAACAAACCCACTCAGGACTCCGGCAGCCCCACCAGCTAGGAAACCTTAGGCAGGTTATATAACTCTCTGAGCATCCAGTTCTGCATCTGTAACTGAGGCTGATTATAATAAACCACCTTCCCGAGTTCAGGGGAGGATCGCAAGAAGCCAGGTGCAAACCGCCTAGCACCACATTCTGTGTATTGATGTATAGGCACTGCATATCTGGTACCTTCCATCAGGTCATTCTGTTTCTCAGTACAGAATCTCCTTTCTACTCCAGAAAGGGTTTGATCAGGGTTTATTACAGAAAACAGGAGCAGATACAGGTCTCCTTGTGACCATATGTCATAACAATATTGTCCATAACAGGACCAGTCTAAAAAATGTTGAATTGGCTGACGGCATTGAAAACAAGCCGCTTTTAAAATTTTAGGTCGAGTTACTGTTTCTCATGGCTGACTAGAAATAGTGTCTTGCTTAAGTACCATTCTTAACCATCAGCCTAATACATTTTGGGCCATTTGATACAGTGGCGAAATCCTCCCTGCCCAAAGGGACGATTTAGAATTTACAGGATTACTGCTGGATCTCGTTACTGCATATAGAGAGGATTTCCAAGTTCAGTTCAGAATACTAGTAGAAAATTATTTTTCATATAGATTTTGCGATATTTCGTTAGATGAATCTCTAACAAGAGTGCCTGGTGAGAAATAGCTCACCATGCAAAAGATGAGGTTTCCTTCCTTTTTTGAATGGATTTGAAAGGAAGTAGAAGACAGTGACATAGTGGGAGAGATGGATATTCTCCTTGCCTCAGAGGCCATATCATGCTCCTGGGCCAGCTGTTTGATCGTAAACAAAAGCTTAAAGTCTTAAAGGTATAACTGATTCACTTTCCTGTACAGCAGAAGCTAACACAAGATTGTAAATCAACTGTACTCCAATAAAAATTAATTTTAAAAACTCTTGAAGTCTTAAAAGTAAAGTAGGATAGTACTTGTTGTTCATGTTTTTGGGAGAAAGGATGATTTTTTAAATTTATTTTATTTTTTATTGAAGTGTAGTTGATTTACAATGTTATGCCAATCTCTGCTGTACAACAAAGTGACTCAGTTACACACACGTATATATACATTGCTTTTGGGACTTCCCTGGCGGTCCAGTGGTTAAGGCTCTGCGCTTCCGCAGCAGGGGGCACAGGTTTGACCCCTGGTCGGGGAACTAAGATCCCACATGCCGCGCGGTGAGGCCAAAAAAAAAAAGCATGAAAAGACTTTGTCAACATAAAAAAAAAAT